AGGCGGGCGGGGAGGGGGCCAGGAGAGGGGGTGGGGAGGGCGGGGCCCAGATGTAAGAGGGAGGACGGGCCTCTGGTCAGCCCCGGGGAGGAGGCGTGTCCACCAGGAGGGGGCTGTGAGCTCTCCCCTCCTCGACCCTGGACCCGTGAGCTCATCCAAACCCAGGACAACAGGACTCCTTCCTTGGAACACAGATCTCGAACCTCGGAAAGTACTTATTTCCCAGATGTCCAACCCATCGGGCAGTGAACGAGTCTCGGAATCTTTCCAGAATTTCCCGGGTTACGAAGACAGGAGTCAGCACTTCTGCAATGAGAATTGAAGGATGACAGGACATGTTACCTTGGAATGCATGTGGGCACAGAGATGGGTTGGGGGTAGGCATGTGCAGGGTGTGTGTGTGCAGGACACGCATGTTCAAGGCAGGCGTGTGACTGCGGCCACATTGGCCCTGTGCATCTGGCCTGGAGACCCTGCTCCGTCCTCAGGGCCATTTCCCCACATTCAAGAATGTTAGTGCTCCTCCTCCTCCCTTGTGGATTTGAAATCCAATTTAGCAAAAGAAAAAAAGTCAGCTAATCGAACGGTTTAAAGCAGCAGCCGTCACTGTGGTTCAGACTTCGGGGCCCAGGAGGGGCCCAGACGCTGACTCAGGGGCTCAGGGTCACAGACAGCGGCTGTGTCCGACGTGGCAGAGAGGGTGAGGGGGGCCTCGGGCACGTGGGGCCATGGGGGCAGGTGTTGAGTCTTCACGGCCACGGCATCACCTCGGGCCCATGGCAGTGCCGACATGTGGGTGGGGGTCTGGCACTGAAGCCCACCCTTGCATGGTGGAAGAAGGGGGTGACACGAGGTGATAGAGACCCCATGTTTCCCCGCCCCCGGGCGTGGTGTGTGGCTGCATCATGGTCAAGGGGTCCCCTGTGGAGGTGCTCACCGATGCTCTGGGCCTCCTCATAGGGATCCACAACGACTGGGATCTCAGTCAAGGAGAGAGGGCGGCAGCGTCAGGGGATGTGAGAGCATGGGGGTGGTAAGCTAGGCCGTGGGCCGCAAAGGATACACTTGAAGTTGTCTGAGTCGACCACAATGCAGTCAGGAGGCAGGATCCGGGGCACGCTTCCCTAAGCCACAGAGGGAGTCATTGGAGATGGCCACCAGTTGGGCCAGACCCCTGGGCCACAGCCATCTGCCAGTCAGCCACCAGCCCTAAGCCCCAGGGTGCCCCAGCCTGCAACCCAGCCCCACTGTGGCCCTCAGCCCTGCCAGCTGGGGGCCCCCGTCTGACCCACCTTCCTGCCCTTCTTTGCTGGACTTTTCCTCTTGGGCTCTTTGCCTTTGCTCTCCTTTTTCACACTGCCTTCTGTCATACAGGAAAAAGCAGTGGTGAGAACAAGTGATTTTTAAATTTTTGGTAAAGTTGAAATGGCACTAACTTCCCAAATGTAAAGGTTGACAGGGCTTGGAAAGGCCTGGCCAGGAGACCTCACAAAGGAAGCATCACTGGAGGGTCCAGGCCCAGCGCACCGGTCGTTCGCACACCACAAAGGGCACTCTCCAGTTCACACAGAGTCTAATGTGTGCCTTCCGTGCCTCTACTCACCATGTCCAGTCTCTACGCTCTTGAACACACGGGATATGGATATAGCAACTGTTTTAACATCCTAGTCTACTGATCCTATCATTTGTATCATTTCTGCGTCTGTTTCTGTGGACTGTTTTTTTCCCTCATTATTGGTCACAGTTGTCTGCTTCTTTGCGTGCCTGGTAATTTTTTATCGAATGTCAGACATTGTGAATTTTACCTTGCTGGGCACTGGATATTTTTTATTCCTATAAATGTTCTTGAATTTTGATCTCAGATGCAGCTAAACTTCCTGGAAACAGTCTGATCTTTTTGAGGGTTACTGTTAAGCTCTGTGGGTGGGCCACCCTTCTGCTCATGCGACCCAGTGCCTGAGTGAGGACTTCCTCTGGCTGGTGGGGATGTGAGCTTTTCCAGCCCCACATGAGCTCTGAAGGCTGCTCCCTCTGCTCCCTTAGTGGTTCCTCCCCAACCCGGACGTTTCCTCTGACTCATGCACAGATCAGTTCACAGTGGAGGTTGGGGGGTACCCTGCATATCTCTGAGGTCCTCTCTCTGTGCAGCACTCTGCTCTCTGACAGTCAGCCCGGCAAACTTAAGCCCTGGTTTTCCCTGACTCCCAGCTATACCTCCTCACTTAGGGAGGCCACTGGCTTTCCTGGTTTCCTCCCCTGCCCTCGACCTGGAAACACTCCCCAGGTCATTAGTTGGGTAGCCACAGGGCACCCCTTGTCTGTTCCTCTTGGGGATCACTGTCCTGCATTTCATGGTGTCCAGTGGTTGTTTCAGTTGGAAGAGTAAATCTGGTCCTTGTTAGTTCATCTTGGATGGAAGCAGAAGCCCGTCGTTTATTTTGAATTTATGTCTGTTTTTTATTGAAGTGTAATATCTTGTAGAAAACAGCATGTGTTGTAAGTGTGCAGCTTGGGGAGTTTCAAACTGGGCCCCATGTCACCAGCACCCAGTGACAGAACATGGCCAGCCCCCACATGCCCAGGCCTAAGTCAGGCCAGCCTGGTCCTCTCCCCACAGTTTATCACCCAATAGTTAAACAATTAATTGAGTCGTTGGTTGCTGACTCTCGGCCCTTTCTTTGGAGTGAAGTTCTGTGGGGGCAAGAACAGGCCTGGTTTCTTCTTCACTGTATGTTAGCTCCTAACAGCACACCTGGCACACAGCAGTGTTCTACTAACATCTTTGAATGAATAAGTGCCTAGAAAATGCTGCAGCATTTGAGAGTTATTTTTTTTGATGGGAGTTAATGTTCTCTTATCATAAAGATAATTTAAATGTTTCCGTTTTGGGATTAAATGTGCATGTGGCTAAGGACAGCTCTTACCTGTCTCCTCCCTGTGGAGGCGATTCATCAGCATCTGAAGAGAAAAGTCTCGAGACACAGAGGACACTGACCCTTCCTCGAACACGGAGAGGCCTTCCAACGGCAGCGCCAGGAGGTGCTGGTCCACGATCAGGACCACGTTGTCCGCAGCCTCGGGCAGAGCTGAGGACGTTCAAGCAGCAGTGGTTGAAATGGCAGCTAGGCATTGAGTTCCCAAGAGTGTGAGTACGTGTGTGCAGCACACACACATGCACGCATACACACACGCATGCTCACACATGCACACATGTGCACACATACACACACACACACAATCAGGACAGCCCCGGGTACAGGTCTAACCTAGTTCAGCTTGGAAGGGGGAGGAAATGGGGCTCAGCCTGCTGGTCCTGGGGCCTGTGTGTGGGCCTTTGTCATTGCTGATGTGGGAGACTCCACAGCCCCTTACCCAGAGCTCCAGTCACTGGCTGGCATGGAGCTGCTTCTTGGGGAACTTTCTCACCTACTCTGTGGGAGTCCTGTGCCCTGGGCGACCCTCGGAGAGAGGGGCGGGGGTCCTCGGTGCCGCTGCCCCACTGGGTCCCTGTCCCGGTGAGGGCTCACACCCCCTGACGGGAGTCCTGTTGCCCAGGTAACCCGTTTTGTGACCGCGGCTTACCGGCGCTGGTGTGTCCCAGCTCAGCTTCTGCTCATGAATGAGCTTCGGGACTGCTGTTGAGCTCCAATAACCACGTGTCCCCCAGACTCACCGGGCCCCAGAGATGTCTTCCTCTCCTTGTCTTTACCCTTGGACTTCCCCGGCTCCGCGGCAAAAGCAGGGGCCTGTATTCTGAAATTCAAAGGTGCGAGCTCAGGTTTAAAAAGCAGGCTCAAACCCTAGGCACACATTCATCAAGAGTGGACACTGCCAGCTTCATTGGTTCATGCTCTCCTTGTGAGGCTGTGCGCAGCGAGGCGGGGGAACCATCACCCGTCTGCGGGCCGGTTGGCCCCCTCCTTTCCTATCACAGGGACCTGGGGCGCTTGGATGTTCCCGCCCCCCACCCACACCTGGGCCAAGGCTGAAGAGGGTGGGGAGGTGAAAGGGGGGACCCCGGGACAGACAGTAGCCAGCGTGCGGAGAGAGGCACTGATTGGACAAGGTGGCTTTGTAGTATCGTCACAACACCAGAGACCAGAGAGTATCTGCAAGTCCGTGTGCCACTAATGGGGGGGAAACAGGGCCCTGGCTTCTCACAGCCTCATAGCCAGTCATGTGGGCTGGCTTGGACCCGTGAGTCCCCCCCACCAGCACTGCCCAGTCGGCTGCTCCACCTCTGCGAGGCTAACGACCCCCGGAGGTCCTGGCCCTGGGTCCCGTCGGCTTTCTGGGCACGCTCGCGGATGCTGGGCCCAGCATCACACTAAGAGCGTCTGCTGCAGTTTCGGGGGTTGACACTGAGGAGCACCGCGAGGCACCTGGCTTCAGGACACGCCATCAGCGGAAGCAGTGGCTTCAGGTATTCCTCCAAGGGTCTCAGGACATCGTTGAATCTCCGAAGGTAATTTTCTTCCTCTTGAATTTGAGTGTTTTCTGACATCTGTTTCCACGCAAACATTGCCCGGAATCAGAAAGCATTTAAGAGGACCTCATAAAATCTGGATCCAGTTCACAGCAGGGGCAAGACCCTGGAAAGGGGCCTGGCTCCCACCATCCTGCCGGACAAGGACCAAGCCTAGTGGACACAGGTGGACAGCCTGCCCTGCCAACCACCCCATCTCCCACGGCCCACTGGTGGCCTTTTGGTGGGGGGGGTCCCCCAGGCCCACCCTGCTCCCCACCTGCGGTGGTCCCTGCCTGCCTCACCTGGCCAAGAGCTGGCCCTGGTGACCCCAGCCTAAGCTGCCTCCCGCCACGTCTGTTAGCAAGTCTGGGGCCAGAGGATGGGTGGGCCTTGCTGCCCGGCCCTGAAGGAGCTGCCTGGGGCTGAAGACAACTCACCGAGCTGGTCATGGTCACAGCCTTGTCCTTGCTGTACACATCCACGAGGGGCTGTTCCTGGAACTGCCGCATGTTGGCCAGCAGGTGCTCGAGGGCGCTGGGGTCCACAGCCACCCGAGCCACCTTGCAGCAGCCTATGGGGGTGGGGAGATACAAGACCTGCAGTGGTCACATCTCTGCCCTCGGGCCAGGGGTCAGTGCCAGGCATGCAGGGAAGTGGAAGCTGTGAGGCCCGTGTGTGACGGGGTGGACCCTGTGGGGCCCGTGTGTGAGGAGGTGGACGCTGTGGGGCCCGTGTGTGAGGGGGTGGACCCTGTGAGGTCAGTGTGTGAGGCGGTGGACGTTGTGAGGTCCGTGTGTGAGGGGGTGGACCCTGTGAGGTCTGTGTGTGA